ATTTATCATAGCAGTGGCGGGGCAAATGGGAGCTTTCTACAAAATGAATCAAACTATCCTCGAGACAAACTCATTTTTCTTAGTAAATGAAAAATGCCCGTTGCCATATTGAAAAGTAGGTCCGGTAGGGGAAACATGCTGTTTTTCGATAAATTCATCAACGGGCTATTACAATTTTATACGGTTATATATATTCGTCGATCTGGTTTTGATCGCATCAAACTAAGTACAGAACTTATGCTAAGATTGTTTATCTGATGCTCCCCTCGATTAGTGCATTGGTACTCCCCCCGGGGGTGGGGTGGGTTTCTTCATCCGAGGCGACGGCAAAGCTGGAGTCCGAACGTACTGTTTTCGCTTACACAAGAGGGGGATCCAATGTTTGGATAGCTAGCGGCTCGGCTATGCTTAGAATAATCAACTGAAGGCGTTTCGGCAGAATGTGGTGTTTATAAACATTGATCTCCTCCAACCCCCGTTTTGTTCTCACACATTTCAACGTTTGTTTGTGATGAATTCAAATGCGATGGAAATGTATGAGGCCCAAAATTTATGTGATGAACACCATCGAACCGTTCGAACTATAGGAACATTTATGCCATCCGTTCACAAAATTTGCTTACTTGACGGGAAATAAATTCGCATGAGCCAAGCCTCTGCTATGTGATCATTATTTCTGTATTTAAATACTTTTATTATTTCTCCAATCTATTACTTCTAAATTCAAATTCAAAGTCAAAGTCAAAGTTTTATTATGGGCGATTTTAACAAAGCTAAAGCTTATCATGCCCCATAGGATTTTTACAGAATGTTTTGGATAACTTCACAAAGAGAAAATAACAAAGATAATAATGTGCGTGATCACTCACGGACGTTGAAATTTTAAGTTTTCCAATGCTTTATCAAGTTGCGATTTAAATAGTTCAACTGTAGGAGCACACACTACATCAGATGGGAGAGAATTCCATGCGCCGCACACTCTGACTGGAAACGAGTGATACCGGCAATCAAGGTTGTTGCTGTGGGTCTTTACGTTTAGCGGATGTCCCCTGAGCTGATCATTATGAGATAAAGTTAGCAGAGAACGGCAAGGGTGGTTGGGTTGATGCAGGATGTGATATGCCAATATTAGGTCCCCTCGAAGTCGGCGGTATTGGGATGAGTAGAGTCCCAATATTTGCAGTCTTTCGGAGTGTCTTGTTATATAGACCTTTTACCAATTTCTTTGCCAGCCCCTGCGGACGTTCTAGAGCCTTCCTGATGCAGTTTAATCATGAATTCCATAATTGAACGGCGTACTCCGTGTGTGGCCAAACAAACGCTGATAATAAGCGTGGGAACAGTGCTCTTCCGAACTGCCCGAAAACACGTCTGAGTAGTCCCACTTGCTTTAGAGCCATAGATGATGCTCTGGCACGGTGCATGGAACATCCTACGTCCTCCTGTNCCGCATGGAAATGACTCTGCATTTGGAAACGTTGAACTCGATGTCGTTAGCGATTGACCATCGGTGGGCTGCGTCGATCGTTTGTTGGAGTGCTATATGATTCTCAGGATGTGTTACAGTTCTCCAGATCTTAGCTTCATCTGCAAATAGCAGTGTATTAGGCCCAAGGTCATGACAGGTCGTTTATAAATGCAAGAAAGAGACGAGGCCCCAGTACGGATCCTTAAGGAATCCCCCGGGTAGCGATGATAGGCTCTGATAATGAATCACCAACACGAACTGACATGGCTCTTTGTCGGAGAAACTCCTTGATCCAGTCCAGAACCAAACCTCTTACTCCGTAGTTGTAGAGTTTTTGCAGTAGAATTTGGTGGTTTACTCGATCAAATGCCTTGGAGAAGTCCAAACAAACTATATCCAATGACTGGCCTGCATCGACGGATTTTGTCCACTCATCCCGTGCAAGGAGTGGGTTTGTGGTGCACGAACGCTTGTGCCGAAATCCGTGCTGGGTTGGAGACAAAAGGTCATGCTTCTTCGGATATTCCATCAACAGATTTGCCACAATAGCCTCCATGACTTTCGACAATATCGGAAGAAGTGTAATGAAATGTTGACTCTCTTAAGCTTCTCAAACCTTTTTAAAAACCCTAATAATTTGTAAAATTGCCAACAATAACATCAGAAAAGCTAATCTTTCTTTCATTCTTATGGAGGATATTTTACAATAGAGAAAAAACATTCTTCAGTATTAAAATTTGATCAACAAATTCCAAGAAAGCGCTGCTCTTTGGCCATCTCTTATCAAAATATATGAAGAATTTCCTGGTATATGTGTTATAATTCCAAAAGGCGGAGCTGGTTGGGGATATTCATTTATTGAAGATTACATCTGAGAGGTCAGTAATTTTGCATGCATAACACAAAAACCTAATCAGAAACGTCAGTCAGTCAGCAATTGCCGGAGTGCCCAGGTTCTTGCACTGGCGAGCTCCTTGGATCCCCCGGTGCTGCTACAATAGGAGAAATGAAATTCCTCCTTTTTTAGGATACGGAAAGCAGACTCGGATGTCCCGACCTGTAGACACTGAGTTCACTTCTTGCATACACGATCATAAATGTTATCTGTAAGCCACTTAACAGGTGGTCTGTCCAGCAACTAAATCATAAAAGGGATTAGCCTGCAAAGTTCAAGGTTTGAGTGAGGGATTCAAGAGGGAAATGGTTCTGGGGAGTGAGATAGGCATGATTGGGAAAGAATAAGTAGGAGCAGAGATAATATAAGCAGCAAGAGGGCACCGACGGTAGCGGCAAGTGAAGATCCGTTGAAATTAGAAGGGGGAAAAATTAAAAAAGAAAAAAAAGAAAGTAACCTATCAGCTGAATGCCTCCACTACGTTCCCGATTGGTGTCTCAGTCAGTCAGCAACGCTCGACTCAAATATTTGATCCCAAACGCCATCGATTCAGTGTTTGAAGCTCACGACTGACGTGCTCTCTTTCATCTCCTCTGGGAGTTTGTTCCAATCGTTTACCAACTGTTCTGTCCGGGATCACTTTCTTCATCACCTTCAGCATCAGATAAGTTAGTCTAATAGGCCTGTAATTTTCCCTGGCTCTTTTATCTCCATCCTTGTGTATGGGCGTGATGATAGCGTACAGCCACTCCTCCGGCAAGGTTCCAGTTTCTAGCGAAGTATTGAAGGGCTTCTCTAGCGGNCCTGCCACTAACGAGGCTAGTGATTTCAGGATGGCCGGATGGATTACGTCCGGTCTGACTGCCTTGTGCTTAATCAACTGAGAGATTCTTCTTTCTACTTCTTCACCCTCAATTGGGTGCTCATGCATTGCTGGTACATCTCTCAGATGGTTCTCAGATGGGCAGGGTATCCCATTGTCTGTCCTGTAAACCTGCTGAAAAATACCTTTTAATACTTCTGCCTTTTCGTAGTCAGTGTTCGTCACTGTTCCTTGTTCACCTCTCACGCACCCTCCCTCCACTTCGTGGGTATTTCTTCGACTGTATATACCCGAACTATGCCTTGGGGTTTGTTTTTGCGGCCCTAGCTAGTCTCACCTCATATGCTGCTTACATTCCCTTTATACTCTAGTGGCTTTCGTCCTGGCCGCCAGGTACTGCAAGAGACTATAATGGCCACCTCTAGCCTTGTACCGCCTCCAGGCCTCTTGCTTTCTAATGTTTGCTTTGCGTGCACCAAATCTCCACCACGGTGGACTTTCAGCCTTCCTGAGTCTCCCGATAGGTGCAACTTCATTGGTGAGGTCTGTTAGGTTCAGCCTAATCACCCCCATAGGGCCTGAACGAAGTCCGGTTCCGCCGTCCAGTTCAAGTTCGAAGCTTTCCCTTGGTTTATTCGGCTGAAGTAGCTTCCCCTCTTTTCGGGCACCCGGGCCCCTTCTAGGGAGTACGATAGGCGAACCACCGCATGGTCGCTTTTCCCTAACGGTGCTTCCATTTCAATCCTGTCAATGTCGTTTGAGCACCGAGTTATGATTAACTCTAATATCGACCCAACCTGGTCAGCTCTCCATCTGGTTTTCTGGTCTATATGCTGCACTATTGCATGCTCGTGGATCATAGAAGTCAGACGGTCCCCAAATGACCTTCTTGGAGCCACCCAGGTCTGCCAGTTTATCTCCGGGGCATTAAAATCGCCCATTACAAGAAGCTTAAGTGAGTCTCTCGTAAAGTCCGTTATAAACGGTAGCAGTTGGTTGTCCTCGTCTACGTCTTAGGATAGTCCCCGGTATACACAGGCAATGGATATCCCAATGCTCCCTACTTTTACTTGGGTTTCAAGTGTCTGTAAATTAGATGTAACTAGTCGCTTACCCTACTGGAAGTTGTAGTGATCTGCTATGAGCATCATCAGTCCTCCACCAATTCTGCTGTCTTCTCTGTCCACCCTGCAGGTGACGAAGTTGGGTGGGGCTAGCTGAGTGACTCGGTCATCCTTTTGTAACCAAGTTTCAGTAACTGCGATTGCGTCGGCATTGTGCAGCTGTGCTCTCAGTTCGCTTTTGCCGCGTTAGTATAAGCATCATGAAATAGAGCCGTCCTCCGTACTCTGGTGTCAGTGTCGGAGGTGGCGGTATGGGGCTTGGTAACTACTCCCGAGCAGCTCCTCCGTTTTTGTGAGGAGCCCCTACGTTACTCTATATCCGTTGGTTATCTTGGCGTACTTCCCGTTAAGGATCCTTGGGTGGTGAGTGTGAGGTTTCGACCACAAGTGCAGCGCATGCAGTTGTGCACCCCGATGTTCTAACGGGATTTTCGTTCCTGTGTCACCTAGCTTCGAAATCAGCAGTCTCGGTGAGCCTCCTCTGTGTGTGCTCATTGCTTTATTCGGACTTACGTGCGATTTACTCCTATCCTCAGAATGATCATCCAGCTCAACTCTGATAGTCCCCCTGGTTTTTGTTGCTAATACGCTGCAGCAAGATTTCTCCCTGTGGCAATGTCGCTAGTTTTCTGAAGTCGGCCTAGAGCCGTGTTTATCTTTCCATTGCACTCTTCCACCTGTGTGATTCTGTCATTCATTTTGTTTCTTTTCAGTGACGTCCCACTTCTCCTCCTGAGGATGTTTGCCTCTCTTCACCTTTTCGACATTAACTAACGTTCCAGTAGCCATACCCTTTTTATCTATGACGGTAGGGGAACCTTCCGTCTAGGTAAGATGAGGACGGTTGTCCTCCAGTTTGATGCTATTTTCACTTTCTCCTCTGCGTTCCGGAGTTACAGTAACTAAAGGCCCGGTTATGGGTGACATTTTTAGCTACTTAGTGATGAGCGGTTGCTGATTAGCTATCACCATTGCCTTCATTTTGTACCCAGTGCAAACCCAAACTAGCTTAACATGCTGGCAGTAAACTCTATATATATCGCTTTGGAGAGATCAGCGCACTTTGGATGAAACCACAGAGAGCAGACCTCACATTGGATGCCTTCAAGTTCTACATCCTCCTGAGAATATTCTCCCGCATCAGGAAGCATTGAGCGATCTCGTGCCTACGTCACAGACTGATTTTGCCACCATAGCATTTCAGTAGTTAACAGGTGTGATTTTATTCCTAAGCAAAAGTGAAGGAAAACTATTATTCTAAAGTTAAAGTCCACAATAGTTCTGGTAAAAGTGGGTACAAGACTAGATAAGACCGTCCGAAAGTGACTACAGTAGCGCAACTCACCTACGATTCCAGCGCTGTCGACCGTTGATCCTGATCCACTCGATCTTAGTAATGATTGTATAGTCCGAATGGCGTTGACTGCAACACCAGTTGTTTAATTCTACTTCGCTATGGTAGAAACCTGCCACTGCAATTCTTCCCGACACACAGGGTAACGTATAGCGCAGTCAGTAGTTATTCTTACAAACATATCACTTGACCCTTGATGGCCTTGTTATATTTTCATCATCTAAAGTTACCTACTATTCACAAGTAAGTAGTATCTCACGACACTCCTCCCCAGGTGAAAAGACTCTCTGTGTGTCTTGACCAGTGGACGGCTGTTTATTGGATTGTGTTCGCGTTTATCTCCGATTTTGGACGTTGGGCGGCGTCATGTCTGACCATATTTAATTGGATTTTGGAATATCTTTTGTTTGTGTACTGTAGATTTCCTCGTGCGATGTTGTGAGATCGTTCCGATGTACACGAGGACTTCGTTCATCCATTGAATTTTGTACACAGGATGGCGTTGTTCAACTATGTGGTACGGACCTTTACATTTGGGAATTAACTTCCTAGAGCCAGGGCAGCTCGCAAATCCCACATGCTGCTTTTATTTCAGAAAACACGAAATAGCGAACATGCTCGTTTTCGATAATATCCTAATCTGGCTAATACAGCTATATAAACAGGTCATAAACATATCACATTTGCATAATGTTTGACGTGTGTATGTGGATTGGACCGGTAGATACAATTACTCGATTGTGTGTGGTTTACAAAAATAAATTGCGGTGAAGGGTGGATGGGAATAGGGTTAGGACAGAGTTAAAGTTAACCATCACTTGTTTGGGGCACAGGGTCAATCGAAAGAGTCAAGGGGTCATGGAACTGGTCAGGTGTAAGCAAGCGATTAAACTCACTACGTGGCCATGGTAGTTGAAGTGCTTTAACAAATCGCTTTTGGGAACAAAGTGATGGGTTAAACAAACGGAAAGCCACTGCCCCAGCTGTTGCTAAATGTTGTTGACGAACAGCCTCAGACGGAAAAGGAGGCACCCGGTAGATCACCTTGAAGGCATCTTCATTCACAGTATGCCTCGTTTTGCGAGATGTTCCACAATGGCACTTGAGTTGGTTGTTCTGATACCAGTAATCAACCAGGCTGGTTTCGGTTCTTTGATCCACTGGGAAAACTGCCTGATGGTTCCACCTACGTAGCTTGCCAAACGTGAACAAAGGAATGAGTAGCTAATCATAAAGAAGGTAGAAATAGGCAATTTATCTTAGAGGTTTATGGAAATAATCGGTTTTTTGAAATCGTCTCCAAAAGTGGCACATTAGTTAGTAACACGATGTCCACACACATTATCCGCTAAACCACACACAATTGATTGATTGTACCTACCAATCCAATCCACATATACACGTCGGTTATCGTCACCTGTAAACAGGTAGGAGCATCGTTGCATCACCGGCTGGAACGACGGCGACATATTCGTGTGAGTTGTTTCTGTGCTCACGGCTGAAAACCTCTTTCTTTTCGAGCGTGACAGCGGGATCGCACCGAATTTCGCAACAAGCCGTTCATTGTTCAGATCAACCACGGTTCTTAAACTCCGAAGTATATCTGCTCCCACAATAGTGTGGTTCGTATCCTTTTTATGACAAATGAATGCTTAATTATTTTGTTTCCAACGCGGACTATTGCAGTGACAATATTTTCATTTCCCAACACCATTCCCTCGACACATGTAAGGACCCTATTTTGTTTTATTGCCCTCCTTTTCGAGAACTCATACGACCTCGATCTTGGCACAATTTCCGGTGAGTTGTATCGTGAGCTTGCTCTCTGTACAATTTCCGCTGCAGGTCACATACACGCTGAACGCTCGTATCCGACTTCCTTTTCGATTCACCCTCGCCTTGGGAAACAGCGTAATAAGCCCGATCAATAGAATACGTAGACGCGTCCTAGCTTCAGCCCTTACTTATAGTGCTAAACTATCCGGTTGGCTACTCCGTCTACCTTCAACTGGTAACCCCCGACTGTTTTCACAGCTGTATTCCATGTTTTCAGGGGTTCATTTGCTTGTGGTCTCGTCAGCGATATTGCTGCCTTAGTGTCAAACCTCTGACTCCAATGGGACCTTGATTGCACTGCGATCTACTGCTCCTATGATAGCCTTGTTTGAGGAAACGAGCGTGCTCTGCGTAAACCGTTTCTTGAAAGAACGTTTTTTGTATCCTTCTGGGAAAGGCCTCCTCCAGTAAACCAGTTTGCCGCAATAGAAGCACACATTCCGATTCTTTCTTTTTCGCAGTTTGACTTTAGTGCTACCACTTCTTCTGTCAGCTTTTTCAGAGCTTCCGTAACATCCTCTAGCAACTGACATTTCGGGACTTCGTGAGTTTGGAGAGCCGAAACTTCATGATTGGTTAACTGTCTCACGGCTTCAGCCTGGGTGAATACACCCAGATTGCCCGGCAGACTCTCCGTGAAACGCTCCAGAAAAAATTCCGAGCTAGCAATGTCGTTCAAAGTTGGCAGCGTTCGATCCAATAGGGTACGCAGAGCTACAACATGCACGGGAGGTCCACGCCAACTCTAAGCTGCGCTTCCTGAAGCTCCGCAACACCTTTTGGTGGTCAACCGAAGTGTCAAAAAGCGCTACCACGGCGTCCTTCGCGGTGGCCCACTCCATCTTCTCCGGGCCTCTTTGGGCCGCATCCAACACCACTGGAGAAAGACCCTTGAGAAGCGCTCGGATGGCGGTCAACTTACCCCGGTCCGACCGTATTCCCACCAGTTCCATAACGTCCTCAAACTCCTCCAGGAACGTCCGCAAATCTCCATCCTCGAAAGCATCAGGCCCCGGAACTTTCATCCTGATCCTGGCGACGGCATCAGTTGTTATTATTCAAAAAGGCGGAGCTGGTCGAGGATATTCATTTATTGAAGATTACATATGAGAAGTCAGTAATTTTCCATGCATAACACAAAAAACTAATAAGAAACGTGACACCGCAATTTTTCCCGACACAGAGTGACGTATAGAGTAGTCAGTAGTTATTCTTTCAAATATCACTTGACCCTTTGTGGTCTTATTATATTTTTCATCATCAAAAGTTACCTACTACTCACAAGTGATTAGTATCTCACGACATACGGAGCGAATGAAGCGTGAACTGAGAAGCCCGAAAATGCTAGATAGCTGTTGTGACCTGGTCGGTTCTCATGGATCCAGTGGCTGATCAAACCCGGGGCTCACAAGTTGAACACCAGGCTGTTGATCACATCGTTCTTCGTGTTGTCTATGCACAACATACCACGGCCAATGTTTGCAAAATTTTGTGGGCTTCATACCTCAACCATCTCAGCACTAGCCTCTGAGGATCTGAAATGGTTGGAACGATTCCAAATCTGATTACTTTATTGGATTCAATTATGGACTTAGAATAAAATTCATTCAGCAAATTATTACTTTTCAAAAACATTGGTATATGTTAGTGTAGAAAAAAGTGACAACAATTATTATCATTTTGTTATACGCCTGAATAACTGTAAGGACGAGTTTTTCGTATTGTCGTCTGATGCTGTATTGGTTGACAATGCAAAGCCATGTAACGTTATGGCAGTAAAAAACCGTCATATCATTCCAATCTCGAGTAAGTATTGTAAATTTCATTTCAGTTATCTCACATTCGACCCGTCTAACATAAACTCCAGCACAATTAGAACCTCAGGCAGGATATTCCCAACACGATTTGGTTTTTCAACCCCGGTTGTCCAAGGCTACCATTAGGGTTTTAAAATCTAGTGCTTAATGGCAGACTGTACAGAAAAATGATAAATATCTTGCCTTTCATTGGTGAACATTTAGGCTTTTCCGACCACATCTGTTTTTAGGATATGCAAGGAGCCCAAAGGACTGCTTTCGCAACATATTAAACCAATCGATTTCTTGATGGTCGCTGGGGGGGATTTAATTATCTCATCAGATCGAAAAATCTAATTTTCCATTGGTTCATTCTGATACTGCAAACTTATGCTTTGAAATGTGATTGTGGAAACCATCTGGATAATCAACTTTGAGATTATCTGACTGCCGATATCAGCCTCCTCTACCTTCAACAGAAGCTGTTGGTACAACCATACAAGCATCCCAGAACATAAGGCATATTTGAGAACAATGTCAAGATGTGAAGGCAGCTGCGAACGCAAATGAAAATGCTTTTGTGGGAAATCTTCATGATGATATCAAAAGATGAACAATAGTGTGACTTCGACTTCGTGTATTTGCAGTTTTCTGTATTTATTTATAAGTTAGAGACAAGCTTGATTGATTCAGCATTGAAGCTGGTAGCTCTGAGATCACCATTCATCAGTCCTGCTTCATTTTCCCCCACTGCACAAACATGACCTCCTAACGCAACAGCCAAGGGCATTATCGGCCATTCTTTAGCAGCCCTAGATTGTTCCACAGTCTCTATTTAAGTATCTAATTTATATCCTATTGATCGTAACTTTCTGGCATAAAATTCTGGTTCTTCGATTCTCAGTTTAAGTGTCTTTCGTAAATTGAACTTACGCATTGCGTTGGGCACTGCACCTGTGAATAATGCTAAATCTCAGAATCTGATTTTTAACTACTCCTAAATCGGTTGGAGCATGCGCTTGCTTACTAGGTGATCCACGTTTTTCTCAAGTGACACGTAATTTCACCTGGAGTGCCCAATAGTGTTCGTTTTGGCCTGAAGTCTGTGTGTAATAGAAGCATAGTTGCATCTGTTGAATTTTCAATGTGGATTGAACCAATTGTGACAACACTAAAATCAAACAATAGAACACCAAAAATATACGGCGGGAATCGTTGTACTTTGTGGCCTTTTCAAAGCCCAAAAGAGCCTGAATTTGTATTGTACCGTTTTTCTGCATCCACTGTGTTCACCAAGATCGATTTAAAAGACTTCTGTTCGCAAACGTTTTTAAACAATATCTCTAGTAAGCTTACGTTGAGAATTACACCTTTTGGTCTACGTAAATGTGTTACTCATATCATCCAATAGGTTTCCACAGCGAGCGGTGTTCACCAAAGCAGGTAGTGATTTGAAAAAGCCAAGCGCGATCAACCTGAGATCGGGCATGAGGGTATGAGACTGGGTCGCATAGGTCCCGTTAGGTTCCCTGGCTGGGGACCTCGGGATGATCGTAACCGGTGGTTGGAGACACTGAGTGATACGGCTAAGTGTATTAAACAGTGGCATTTGTGCATCTTCTCAGTCTCTTTGCACCCTTAATCCACTGAAATTTTTCATTTTCTATTCGTTTCTACTTTCTACTTTTCGGTCTTTCTCTTACTTTCATCCAAATGGGCAGCCAAAAATCAGCAACTTAAACCGCCGCACGAAAGGGAATAGTTAATGGTTGTACAAACGGAAACTGAAACTATTCTGTGCAAATATTATTTCTCACTCTTTACGTTGAGTGCCCTCCACAATATCTTAGCTATCTTTCGGTAGTGACTGCACATAAACTATGAATTCATTTTTTTTATTGAACACGATAGTCTCCTTGTCCATTCCAGATTTCCGCTCCTTGCAGTTTAATTCTTTTGTTGAGTGGTTTGTTCTGATTTCATTTCGTGTTCTTGTGTTAGGTTGAACTATTACTGCGCGGATTTTGATATGTACACGAATTACTAGTCCGAGTGCAAGTCACAACAACTGGCGTCACGGTCGTTTTGAACCAATTGATTCATGTAATTTAGAGAACCTGGACATTCAAGCCAGCGCCCGTGAAGTCGAAGATTACCTTGAACTATTCCAGTTTTGGTGTATTACGCGGAAAGAACTCAATGGGGAATGCAAAACCGATAATTTCTTACCGGTCATCGGAAAGGATGTATATTCCCTGTTGAAGAATTTGGCTTCTCCTGACTCTCCTATATTATCTTCATACGAATACTTGAAATTCTTGCTAGGGAAACATCTGCAGCCATCTAATTTCAAATTCTCTGAGTAAGCCAAATTTCATTCACTCACACGTGGTGGATGCCAACCCATACGTTAATTTATTCTTCAGCCTTAATCTCAAGCATTGCTATGTAATTTCGGTGATCGACTATAAATCCAGCTACGTGATCGTTTACTTGCTGGTAGTAATTGCCCCGAAATCCATCAAAGGCTCTTGCTCATGCATAATTGCACAGTCCTATCGGACAAGGCAGTTTGTGAACAGTACCAAGACGTCCGTAGCATTGTCTGTGATGAACCCAACGTGTTGCTAAATACCAACAAATTCAAACAGTCACTATTCCCACGAAATTGATTTTTCAAAAAGGACTCGAAAACACCACACCCCACCAGTTCTCCAGCTTGCGGTGACCAACGGATTCTACATTGAAATAAGTGCACGTCTTGTGGTCAAAGGCATTTACGGTTTACCTGTGGGTTTCATAATGCAAAGTGTCACAATTACAGTAAGCTTGGCCATATTCACTCTGTCTGTAGAAGAGCAAAGTCATGTCTTATAGAAAATAAGACTCTTCATTCCTCTAAAGATTTATTGTCTGATTTACAGTCTTTGACTCTAGCTTCTTTATTACACTTCTAAGTGTGATGAAGAGCAGATGAGGTGAAACCCATAGTCATGAGGACCTGCTAGTATAAGTTCACATTCCTCTCACTACATCACTCGTGATTTCACCATTCGCCACACAGACATCATGGACATCGTTAGTCTTAACTCCTTCATTTCCAACAAGGTGTTTCGTCGGTTAAATTCCCCAGTTGTACTCAACCCTACAGACATTTCAGTTAACAGAATTACTGATCATTCTTCGCCCAGGAGGCGCACATTGCCCGTGGGGACTTCCTCCCAACCCCACCTCACACACCCTCCCTAGGCTGGCAACGTTACTAATTTCGACCCCCTTCTCCTTATTTTAGTCAATTTTCAATGTGTTTTCATTGTATTTGGTATGGTAAATGTTTTCCTATTTTTAAATATTAGCTCCTATATTTTATTAGCTTAATTATTTATTTATTTATTTTAGTTGCCTCACTAGGGTAGTATCCGATCATTTTTCTAATTTCTGACCTTGAAGATGCTCGAGCCATGTAAGATGGCTCCAATATGCATCCACTTATATCGGAATTCCAAGGTGACGCTTGTGTGCGTTATTTACAAGACCGTGAATTATTGAGGAAGGAGATAAAGTGTGTGTGGTCGCTCAATGCACATACAGCAGTTTAAAGACGGTCGTGATGGTTGTGCTTTTCAATGTTTGAAGTTCAAGATGTGCGTCCCTGTGTGTCTTGGCACTGTTTCGAAAAGACACAACTTCCTTTAACCACGATCGTGGAATTATTCTTGTACTTTGTGATGGAGGAACCGGTGACGCATGCGGCTGCAATGGCAAACCTTTCCAGGAAGAATGCTATCCAGTGGTACCGTTTCTATCGTGACATATGTTCAGGCATAATATGCACTCTGACAACACAACTGGGTGAGGTTGGATCCATTGTGGAAATTGACGAAAGCGTTGCAGTGTAAAGGAAATACGGACGTTGAAGACCATTGGTGGCAGTATTGATGTTTGCTATGTATGATCAAACCCTTATGAAAGGTTATTTTCAATGGATGGAAAATCGATCAGCGTCCACACTTCCGCCTATAATGCAACGTTGGTTGATGCCTGGAACCACGGTGCATACAGACCAGTGGTGAGCGTACCGTCCATTATTTTCTTTGGGATATATTCATATGTGCCTTAATCACACGGACGGTTTCATCAATCCTGCGACTGCAGTACACACAAACAACGGGAAGCCGTATGAAACGCAGACTGAAGAATGCAACAGGATTTCTCGGTGACATGCTCTGGGACCATCTGGATGAAGTACAATACCGTGGTTTGAGTTTTCAATTCAGATACTCCACAACGACAGTGACAGATTACTGCAACATATCGAACAGTTGTATCTCTGTTAAACATTCACTAGATGCGTTTTATAATTATGCGCTATATAAACTTTTTCCAATACAATAAAATCAGTGCTATGCTTTATAGTCATCAGGACATTTAATACTACTTTGAGTAGTAGGTATACATATCTATCATTTTACCAAGAAGGGACCCCACGAGTAACGTGCGCCGTGACAGAAACTACCTCTCATTCTACATGTTCCCTCCCTCTCTTGCACCTCGTTATTTTACCGCGTGTAGTCAGTCCCACAACCAAGCGACCAACGCCTAAATAATCTAAATCATTCCATGACCGATTGAAGCCCCGAACCCAATGAATGTGTCCTCAGAAGCAAACAGTGTTGCAGCATACAGAGAAACATGTAATTTGACAAATGTATGAACTCGCTTTATTCCTCCTTCCTACTCATTCCTATCCGCGTGTCTCCATCCTCTCGCGTCCTTTGTTTCACAGATCGTCTCTCTGTATTTCCTCCCAATAATGCCGCGACCCAGGTTACCCGCCGGCACCTCATGCCTATGGACCAGTCCGGGAGTTCTTTGGATTCTGAAAAGTTTTAAATGAATCTTAAATTTTTTATATTTTTTTTTGAAAAATTAGTTCTTCTATTTCATTAAGATATATAAGTGAATTTTGCTACCGTTTGTTTTAATTGACGTTGACCTTGACCACGTCTGGATCTATTGTGTCTACCATGCATCGGATTTTACGTAAAGGGTACTTCCAAAGAGTGGAGTACCGCTCTACGGAGACCGTAATACCGATTATCCAACCCGGGGAAGTACCTTATACACAGACCAGTGGGCCGCATATAGATCATTGTTTTCCCTGGGATATATACATGTGCGAAAACCACAGCCATGGTTTGTCAGTCCCACTACTGGTGCTCACACAAACAACGTTGAAGCGTTCCGGAGTTTGATTAAACGTTCCTTGAAGAATGTCACAGGATTTGGCGGAGTTATTATTTCGGAACATCTGGAGGAGGTCCAGTATGCAATGTGGTTTGACTTTTGCATACAGACTTTTACAAACAATATTAATAGTTATTTAGGACATATAAAACAACTTTATCATTGATAATAATGATTTATTGTTGAGTAAATATTTTTTGTGTTCATTATATGCCTGTTCCCTGCTATAATATTAGTTCTCCTACTTATAAGTCGTATATTCATGATTGCATACATTTCACCGGCGGATAACCTGAGCCTCCATATTTACGTTTGTGACTCTGTCCGCTTTGTGTTTCGCACTACGTTTTCGTTCCGCTGCCCCACCATCTCCATCGTGTATATCTCCTAATTAGACCAGCACTTTTAATGTACATATGACTCTTTTGAACGAATGATCATGATTTATGTATGCTTCACGGGCTTCATGAAATAAACAATATTATTATAATTATAATCTCTTTGATCAGCGCATGTTTGCTTTCACTTTTCACACGCTTGCTCACGATTCCGCATCTACTCGTTTTGACTCTTCAGGTTAATACGATACAACCGTCCTCCGTTTCCTGAAATGTCTCGTTCTGCTTTGGTACGAACGCTGATTTGCAACATAGACATATTTTCCCGGGGTACCGATAAGACGTTGACTACAAATTTGTGAGCCCTCGTATTGCGTTTAATTAATAATAATAATAATGGTATATTTCACGAAGCCCGTGAAGCATGCTTGTGCGCATGATCAAATGTACAGTGAAAGTATATGCGAATGGTTACGAATATTGAACAAATGGTCACACAGCTTCTGGAGTATGTACCAGTATTTATTATGTTCCACAAGTCCAGCATTGAAGCTGAGTCCGTGTGCTGTTAAGAATTGGGTTAAGAAAGTGAACGTCCTGGTGAGCTTGTGCCACGGAGTTGAGACGAGTCAGTCGAGTGAAAGTATATGCGAATGGTTACAAATACTGAGCAAACGGTCACATAGCTTCTTGAGTATGTACCAGAATTTATTATGTTCCACGAATCCAGCATAGAAGCTGGACTCGTGTACTGCTAAGTATGGGGTTTAGAAAGTGAATCCGTGTGCACAGCGGCTATGCTGCCGAGTGTCGCGGCATATTGGGAGAAGGTATTCAAAGGTGTGGTTTGTGGTGTTAACATAGTGAATGGTTCAGCAATCCCCATTCTAAAGCTGAGTTTTGTTTTCCGGTAGTCAATAATCAAATCCCATTTCAAATGCAGTGTCAGTTTTTATGCTTCCATGCATTGTGACAATGTTGTCTATCGTTAGGAATGTTCCAAGTTGTTCCAAGTTTACGTTGGAAATATTTATTTCGGAGGATTTTTATTTTTATCTATGTCAAGTTTCTAGTAATTTGTCCGTAAATTTATTGTTACATATCTGTTTCCTTTCACACATAAATGTAGATTCTATATATTTCTAGTTGTGGCTTACAGAAACTTCTGATCCGAATATAGCATATTAATTTTCCAAAAGTAATTTTTCTGTATGCGTTATTCGGCCATTATATATTTCAAGTCGGTGTGGTTATCCAGGCCTACGTGATGACGCCTACCCTAGAGTGGCGCGTTACAATTTTAGGACATTCACGACCAATCAATTTTGAATGCTGATGTCAATAACACGCGTACGGCTTCTGACTACACGCCATAGGCCGATCGTGCCAGCCAATTCAAGACAGGGCGAACAAAAGCAGAATTATACAAGCAGTGTTACAATCCGATTGGTGGAAGCCCAGATAACCAATAATCTTCTTTTGTACATATTATCTGTTCACCTTCATTTATTCCGATCAACTAACTAAGTACTGCTGTTTCTGTGGCCTTTTCCTCGCGTCTTGTTCGCTTGGAATATTGCGAGCTCGTGCCATTGCGATTCAGTGCTTCCGTAATCCAGTCCGTGACAGTTGATCCTAGATTCATGTCCGGTGGTTCCTATTGTGTGGTTTGCATTACGAATTCCGCGCGTACTACTACTACTACTACTACAATCATTACAAATTGGTAATGGAACTTTCAACGATTGAGCAGCTGAACCTGCAGGTCAGCCCATCTGAGATCGAAGAATGGTTCGAACGATTCGAGCTGTGGGGCAGTGTTCGCAAAAGTGGTGCACAAAATCAAACAGCCCTATTTCTTACTGCTGGCGGTTGTGACCTGTACTCTCTGTTGAAAAACCTGGCGTTCTCTGAGGCTCCGCCTAAAATACCATACGAGTCCCTGAAGTCGCTACTGCTCAACCACCTGCTGCCCACTGAATTCCAAGCACACGAAGGGGTCAAATTCAACTCCATGATTCGTGCTGATCATATTTCCCTCCGTGACTTCATCCTTCAGCTGAACAAACAGGCATCACGCTGCAACTATGGTGATCGTCTGGGAGAACAAATATATGACCGCTTGGTGGCAGGTATTAACAATCTGACTCTCTGACGGAAGTTGCTGGAGATGGAGGATTTGAGTTTTGCCGATGCCTGCAAGATCTGTGAGCAACATAAGGACCTGAGGAAAGCCACTTCCAGCGAAGCAGTCACATTATTTCAACGGCAGAAGACACGACCAAACCGACCTCCAATGGCCAGGTGCATACCAAAGCCGTTCTGGATAACAAAAGCTGGTGCAGCAGTAAAGAGAATTCAGAGCAAATGCAATCACTGTCGTAGGCATTTGGGTAGGCCAGGGTACCAGCTAATGGCTCCATTGCCTATAAATAGAATGAGTAGCCAATTGCCACCATTCCACTCGGTTTGGTTTGGTTTGGTTTGGTCCCAAGGACGGTGAAGGCGGCTTGCCAGGTTGTCCAGTTTCTTGCACTGGTGACCTCCAAGGATCTTCCGGTGCTGCAACAATAGGATGAAAATGTTCATCTTCAGTGGTGTACATGTGGAGGGGCGACTAGGAGAGGACCTCCAGCCACAGCACCCCACTCCGTGGGTGTTTGTGCAGTGGTGCGTTGTATACTGGCTTCTTGGATGGGAGAGTCACACCAAGAACCTTGAAGCCCGTAAGGATGAAAAGTCTAAGTTAAGAAGGATATACGGAGGTTTTTGTCAGAGAAGTGAAGTGAGGAAGTGGAAGTGGGGGTTAAGAGGGCCATTTGAATGAAGATAGGAGGGGGGAGGGAGACGGGATTCTGGCGCTTGACACGTTTACTCTCCTCCGACGAACAAGCTACCCCATAAGATATCCAAACTGTTTGAATTTAGCCACTGAGGTGGCTGCTATGGCTTCACTTGGCAGTTTGTTCCAGTCATTCACGACTCGAACTGGAAAGGATGTGACCCTCAGTCGGCAATTTACCCTATCCCTTGCCAGTTTCAGTGCGTGCTCTCCGAATGAGGTGGTTTCACTTAGCTTTAGAAGCTTCTGGAAACCACCCCCTATATCTGTGATTCCTTTAGGGATCTTAAAGGCCTCTATGAGATCGCCTCAATGCCTCCGTCTCTCCAATGAGAAGAGGTTCAGCACCTACAATCTCCTCTCATACGGTAGCTCTCTTATCTCACCAAACCATCTCGTGAAGCGCCTTTGAACCTTCTCCAGCGCTTTGGCATCTCTGACCAAAAACGGGCTCCACGCCTGAACACAATATTCGAGGTATGGTCGTACAAACGCTTTATGGAGTGACGAGAGGACCTTCGGCCTCCTGGACCCTATTGCACGTCGGAGCTGATATAGGGCTCCAGTTANGAAGTACTGGCACTTACGGGCATTTAGAGGAAGGTCCCATACCTCCGACCATTCCTGAATCCTGTCTAAGTCTCACTGCATAGACTCACCTGGAGCGGACCCGACGATTTCTACATCGTCAGGGAACTGGAAGCAGGAGTTTTCGAGGTCCCTGCTAAGGTCGTTTATGTACAGCAGAAAGAGGAGTGGGCCTGGTACGGACCCCTGCGGGACCCCACTATGGACCAGTCCTCTTTGTGATCTGTATTCTGCTACACTAACTTCGAAACTCCGGCCTGCCACGCATCTCGTGATCCATTCCATCACCCTGTGGTTGATTCTAAACCCACTCAGTTTCATTAGAAGCAGTCGGTGGTTCACCGAGTCGAAGGCCTTGGCGGAGTCGAGGTAGCAAACCTCTACCCGTTCCCCGCGATCAATACGCCTTGTCACTTCGTCTAAGAAGCAAAGCAGGTTGGACAGACAACCGTTTTCTGACGAAATCGTGTTGATCTGCGGTGAGCAGAACATTAGCGACGAGATAGTGGGCGATCCTGTCGCGAAGGATTTTCTCCATCACTTTTAGTATCACTGAGGTCAGGCTCACAGGTCGGTAATTTGAGCACGACTCCCCATCTCCCCCTTTGTGGATTGGAACAACCGTTACCAGTAGCCAATCCTCTGGGAGTCTACCCGTATCTAAGGAGGCGTTGAAGAGGTTGCTCAGTGGCACTGCTAGCCGCCCCGCTAGCGGTTTCAGTACAACTGGGTAAATCCCGTCAGGACCTGCAGCCTTTGTAGCTATTAGTCCTTCAAGGGTCCGTTGGACCTCATCGACCCTTATGGGGTCATCACCCATGGGCGTGGTTGGCTGCACCCCTGCCCCCTGCTGTCCCGGTGCTCCTGGATCCTGACGGTATACCTGCTGAAAGAAGCATAATAATGCCTCTGCTTTTCCAGCTGCTGTCGTTTCTCTGTCCTCCTGTGCGTTTTTAACGCACCCTATCTCTCTTCAAAGCCGGGCTTTAGATTGCACGTAGTTGAAGTGTAACTTCAAGCCCGCCACCACGGGGGCGTCCCATGACTCCTAATCCTTCTGAGGGGTGCCACCTAATCTGTAAGCCTTAGGAAATTACTTTTTACCAGATCCCATTGAT